GGTCAGGAGAGGTCTGCCACACCATGTGGTCACCTCCGGGGCAGGCAGGAATCGAACTCATGCAGAAGCGGCTTTAGATTCTCAGTGCTGTGCTTTACCCCGCTGCGCCACCAGGGAGGGCCGAAACTTTTTTTTTTTTAATAGAGTTAACTACAGAATACATCTTAATGTGACTTTTCTTAAAAAAAAAAAAAAAAAGCTCATTATGAGTGTAAATTCCATCCAGATTGCTATGGGGAACAGTGGATGAGCTAGGAGAGGTCTGCTGCACTATGTGGTTAGCTTCTTGTCTTGGGATCAAACTCATTCCATAGTGGTTGGTGATAGCTTCATAGTGCTGAGACTTTAATCTCTGCACCACCAGGGAGGCCCCTGTGGATAGTAATTTTATAAAGGAAAATTAGAGATATTTGAACAGCACCAAACTTTTGAGGTTATCATGAAGTACAACCATGCTTCTAAAATCACCTTTGACGATACTTCTTCAAAAGTCTCAAAAGATATACCAACCCCTTCACTAGTATAGGATTTTAATTATTTTGATGTTTTTCTAAGACATTTTTAGTATTGGCAACAAGATCGTTTTAAATTTTAATTTCACTTTTTTAAAATATAGATGAATATGAACGGGAAGAAACTAGACAAGTTTACATGGATCTAAATAATAACATTGAAGTAAGTGGTAATGAAAATTTGAATTAAAATTTTTTAACTATAAATATATGAACAATTATTATTAGTTATTATCATTTATTTGTTTATATATATCACTAATAAAATTCCCAAAGTTTATATTATATGTTAATGTTTTTTTCATTTAATAGTTTTTAAATTTACATTAGTGGTGTAATTTATCAAATATTTATTAACTGTGTCAGCAATTAGCACATTGCTGTAATACATAATGATTAATTTAAAAATAGTAGTAATCTACATTGGTTTCTTACCCCATTTTCTATTGTTTTCTACTTCTCTGATGTAATCATTCTTTTCTTTTTCATGTTTCCCATACTGCTTTTATATTTCTCAACTTTACCTTGGTTGTTTGAATTTGTTTGTCATCTAGAACTTTTATGTTCAGAGATCTTATGTAAACTCATAAGCTTCATTCTGCTTTTTGCCATTAAAATGTCTTTGTATTCAGTTACTCTATTACTTTCAGTTACTCTCTTACCTTGTTTAACTTTTCTGAAAGAACACCTCAAACTACATAACATTAATTTGCTATATGTTTGTGTGTGTCTGTTCTTTCTTACACTGGAATTTAAATTAGCTTCAGTAGAGAAGGACTTTGTCCCATATCCTTACGACAGTAACAAATTATTAAATGAATAATCTGATTTTGCAAATTAAAATATGTTGAATGAACTTATGCGGTGAGATGAGATATAATTTGCACCATTATGAGGAGAAATCATACAGTTACTTTAGTGCAGAAGACAGAAATTAAGTAAGTACAAATTAATATAAAGTTAAAGATTTTGATACAGACTATTAATTAAATGACTAGAATAACCGTATTTGTTTTGTTGCCATTTGATATTACATGATCTGTCTCCTTTGTCATTAAGCATATGCATGATTATTAGTTATCAGTAAATTATTGTTAATTTTATTGTTAAAAACTATAAGGTTTTCATTACTCAGACTTTCATGGTTTAAATTGAATACATTAAATAGATATTTATTAATATTAATATTTGCATAGTTCGAGAGAAGCTATTAAAAGTTAAGTATGATTTTTAAAAGTTAAATGTTATGTTTCAGAAAATGATCGTAGCTTTTGAAGAACTTCGTGTGCAAGCTGAGAATTCCAGACTGGACATGCATTTTAAGTGTAGGGGTTCTATTTACTTTGTATATTATTATTCTGCTTTTTATGTTTTAATTTGAGTCTTTTAATATTTTTCTCTTCAATTAGATGCCTTAATTTAAATTTTGAATTGCATATGCTTTTGCAGACCCGTCATTTTTGTATGACAATGAATTAGTGATGATTGTTTTTTTGTTTCAAAGCTACATTTCCCCTGAAATCAGACTTATTATGGCTTGTATTTAATTTTGGAAGTTTGATCTGGTCCCATTTTTACATTTCATGGTAAAGTTACAAGTTTAACTACATAGTTTTAAAATGTCTTTAAAGAATATATTTATAGGTTGCTAATACAAAATTATTAAAATTTCTTAAGTTATTATAATTTAAGTTATAATAATTTCTGAAATTATTATAATAATTTAAGTTCACTATTTTACTGAACAGAAAGTTAACATCAAGAGAAAACAGTTTTAGGACTTGTTAGAAGCCTTTGGGGTTTAATTTAGATAAATAAGGGGTAAAATAGCACCAGTTTTAAATTTTATTATACAATCATGTTAAAATGTAAGTATTATTTGTTTTATTTTTAAAGTAAAGGAAGATCATGAAAAAATCCAACACCTTGAAGAGGAATATAAGAAGGAAGTAGATGATAAAGAAAAGCAGGTGTTTTTCTTTAAATTAACTTCTATGTTGTATTTGCTAACTGCACAATAATAAGTGAATGAGGGAATTCTAATATTATACATATTCAAATATTTAGCCTTTTGCTTAAAATAATAGATTTCCACTGGGTCCAGTATGCACACATTTAGCAGGGACTTTGATGGCATAGTGGTGAGCATAGCTGCCTTTCAATATGCACATGTTGAATGCTAGCCCTTTAAAATGTTCCTGAATCTTCTATAGCAGCTATGTTGTGGGTAATAAGACATTGCTAATAAGACATTGCTTTTCTATGCGAAGTAATTATATGTTCTCTCTAATGGTTTTCCTTCTTACACATTATGTTTTAGATTATAAAACTCTCATAGTTTCATGGAAGATAAAGTCTAATTTTTTGTTCTCTGGTTATCTTTTGGGTGATTTAGAGGTGAAATTAGGGCAGAGAGATCTTTCTGAACCTAGAAGTCTTCATTTAATCTTTGTAAGTTTATCTTTTACCTTTTTCACAAACATAGTCTAGTCATCTCATTATTTTAAATTCTCCAAATAAACTATGATTTTTTTTATCCTCTGTGTTCTTGCATGAGTTAGAATGCTCATTTCCTGTGTGGGTTGATTAATTCCTATTTGTCTAATAAGACTGAGTAAGTCCTCTGAGAAATTTTAATTTTTCTTTCTTTCTTTTTTTTTTTTTTTCCATGGAAGAAATCAGGTGTAGGCCCAGAGATGCAGGGTTGAGGTAGGTTGGGGGTGTATGAGAGGATTCACCAGAGACAGAGTGGTGAACAGAACAGGCAGATCCACTGAAATACTTTGCTGAGGGGAGGCAGGAGAGGTATGCTGTGCCAAGTGGGTTAGGTCCCTGGTCAGGGATGGAACTCAGGCAGTAGCAGTGATAGCACTGAGATTTAACCCCTAGGCCAACAGGCAGGACTGAGAGGTTTAATTTTTTTACTATATTCCATAGGACTGATTTTGGTGTTTTTCTCTGATTGCTATACTTTTTTTGTCTTAATACTAATAATATTCAGGTATAATTGTTTGTATCCCAATCTAAGATGATTTCTTGAAGGTAAGTTCTCACAAATATGTATACCCAATGGTTATTATGGTTTCTGTAAAGCAGTAGCTGCTCAATAATATTTATGAATAAGCAAACCAGTAGATTTTATTATATAACCTTAGAAATAAAATATATACTCAATGTTATTCATATTAGCTTGTTCATTAATATAATAGATATTTATTGTGTAAGCATCTACTAAATGTCAGGAAGAGCCAGCTGAAAAACATAAAGTGTATAAACTAATCATTGACAGTAAGTGCTAATGTATCATTTAATTTTTCTTATCCATAATATAAATATTTAATTTTAGGTATCACTGCTTTTGAGCCAAAGCAATGAGAAGGAAAATAAAGTGAAAGATTTAACATTTCTGCTAGAAGAATCCAGAGTTAAAGTTAATCAGTTAGAAGAAAAGACAAGTAAGAATTTATATAAGAAAATATTACAATGTGCTATGTATTCTACTTTTAAATTTAGAATTGCATTACACTCTTGCTGTAATATTTTCTAGTAATTACTGACTTAGAATGACCTAGATGACAAAGAAAAGCCAGTGTTTTTCTTAAAATTTTATTTCAGTATTCTTTGTATTTTGTAATTCATAAAACCCGAGTTAGAGGGCATAATAGAATCATTTTAGAGGATGTTTGGAAAGTAAATATGCTTCTTTTCCTTTTCCATCTTCGCAGCTTTAATAGTGATAAATGAAAACAGGGATCTTTGAAGTTTTGTTTTTTTTTTGTTTATGAATACATTTCAAGTGATTAGAACACATACTGACACATATTAGGCACTCAATAAAGTTTTTAGGAATGAATGAATACTATGGGAGCATCATTGAGGGAATTATTATTTTAAGACCAAAATCCTTGGAAAAGTATTAAGGAAAAACTGTTCGTTGAACTAGAGTGTAGATTAAAAGTTCACTAGATAGTGAATTGGAGGAAAGAGTGTAGGCAGAGGAAATGATGGTATCAGTCATGGAACTGTGAAAGTTAGAATATATTTGCTACAGGGATTAGTGTATCTTGAGAACTCGAGCAGATGAAAATGGAAAAGAATGGATCATATTATGAAGAACCTTGAATATGTATGATTTGTTTAGATCACTAGAATATTTTTGAAACTTGTTCAAGTGGCAGGGCAGTTAGAATTCATAGCATACTGTGAAACACTACTTTTCAGAACATTTCAAGACTCTTACTGTATTCGCCACTTTTTTCTTTAAAATGTCCTCTTCACATGATACATTAGTTCCTTCTATGCCTTCTCATTTCACCTTACTGTGATTATAATATTGAGTATTCCAGATATGTTGAAATTGTTTAACTTCCCTTACATTTTTTAAAAAGATTTATTTATTCATACAGAGGTGGGGTACAGGCCAGAGGTGCAGGGGTGGTGAGAGGCTTCACCAGAGTCAGACTGGGGAGCGGAACAGGCAGATCTATGAAATCTGCTGAGGGGAGCAGCGGGCAGGTCATGGGAGGTCTGCCTGGCCTTGTGGATCACCTCCGGGGTGGGGATCTAACTTACACTCAAGCGGCTGCAGCCAGCTTGCAGTGCTGCGTCCCAACCCATTGTGCCACCAGGGAGGGCCCTAATTTCCCTTACATTTTATATACTTTCTATCTTATCATATGAGCATTTGGCTACTTCTACCCAAAATGATACTCCTATGTCCACTTCACTTCAGATCTATTAGCTAAATTCTAGTGAACTCCCTAATCTTTTTTTAACTAACATTTTTATTAATTTTATATAGGTATATAATATTTTTTTAGTTTTTGGAATACAGCCTCATAGCATACTATACCCATGACCATAATTCTACTGATATTCACTATTATCATATTGACCTCTCATATTCATCCCTTCCTCCCTCTGCTCTTAGTAACAATCGTGTTTTTCTCAGCAGTGAGACTCAGACTTATATACACAGGGTAAACATCCTTTTATCCAGTTATTTCACTTCTGGGAAATAATACTTCTGGGGAATCTACTTCTCATTTCCACCCACCTGTCTACTACCTCTTCTACTTCCTTCTTCCTCTTCTCTAGGCTATTACTCCTACTCTGGCTCTTTTGTCTTGGAATTTTTTTTTTTTTAGAGCATTCAAATAGCATACAGTTTCCACACATGCTTAAGAACTAGTCTGCGATATGATTTCTCTAATACTCTTAATACCAGCTTATAATAAGTAGTATTATAATGAACACTATTAGCTCTCTTTCCAGACTTACTTTTCCTGTTTTTTTTTTTTTCAAGATTTGGACCACTAAACCTTTCATTCCCATAGATTTTTCAGTATGGAATTTAAAAATTGAAACATTATTCTGTTGCTTAACATCTTTCATTGTTTTTTATGCCCTACACTTATGAAGATTATATTGCTGAGCAAGTCATGTAGATCCTTTTATGATTTTATCTTTTTGATTGTAAATAAAATCATGAATAATTTTAACATTAGAGCTTATTTAAAAAAAACATTTTATTATTCCTGTATTTAGTATTGTGTATCCTTCCATGGGTACTATTTATATAAATACTATTTTTAATTTACCATTTTTATTCTTTTATTTTATAAATAATCAAGTCTATCATTTATAGGTGACTACACAGTATATCACTGTGTATATGTATACCACCATAATTTAATTTATATGCTTGAATGTTGGTTATTATTAAAAATGTAGCACCAAACATTCTTATATATCTACTTTGTCAATAAAATTTGATGACCATTATTAGTACATTTATACTTGCATTACTCTGTCTTATTTTGGAGTACCTAATATAAGGGGGAATGTAATTATTACAAAGAATATTTTTGTGTCTGTATATTCTACTAAGTACAACTTACCAATACAACTTTTTCTTATAGAATTGCAAAATGAAAATTTAAAAGAATCAAATGAGAAGCAAGATCGTTTGACATCTGAACTAGAAGATGTTAAGATATCTTTGCAAAGAAATGTGGTATGATATATATACTGATCATCATGTGATAAATGTCACATTATCAATTGGTCAGCAGATATTTAGTGAATATTAATAATGCACAAGGACCTGGAGCTTCAATTAGTGAAGATACAGTCTCAGACTACAAATGCTTATATTGAATTAGTGACCTTGCATAAAAACACATCAGAAGTATAACTAAAATACAAAACTATAGTAGGTACCAGTAGAGTGATTCAGGCAACTTGCTACAATAAGTGTAAGAACTAAAATAGGAAGATTCTATGGAGAGTTTGGGATTATAGGTGGAATTAATAGAGGTGTGAATTGAAGTTAAGAGTAGTGTGTGGGCATTATAGATTGACCTGGGTGAACAGAAAGGGCAAGGGGGAAGGGAGAGGCAGCAAATTATAGAAGCAGATGAGTTCAGCTTTTATCCTTAAGGTACTTGGATTGTAGCTTTTGTGCTTTATTTCATTTAGAGTACTCAAAAGGCGTTAGAGGAAGATTTACAGATAGCAACCAAAAAAATATATCAGCTCACTGGAGAAAAAGAAGCTCAGATGGAAGAATTTAATAAAGCTAAAGCTGCTCATGCATTTGTGGTTACTGAACTTAAAAGTACCATCAGCAACTTGAAAGAATTATTGACAGCAGAACAGCAAGGGTAAAATATTTTCTTATTTTGCTGAATAAAAAGATTTTCTCTTAATATTCAGTTCCTTTCATTGTCAACTGATTTTTAATTCCCATAACAACTGTAACCAAGTTTCTTTTTTTAAGTGTATAAAACGGGAATACATTTTTAAAGCTTGCATTGTGTGTGCTGGTATCCTAGGAAAAGATACTGAAAGTTAGTCTATAATTCCTGTACATGCTTTACTGTAGAGTCATGCTATAAACTCAAGTTTGTAAGTACTGATGTTGCAGTGATCTAACATGAAATTGGATTATTTGCATTATAGAAATAGTTTTTTTTTGTAGAGTCTTAAGAAACTATTGTGGGATCTATAATATTCTTTCTGGCTTATAAAATTAGCAACTAGCTTGACAGAGTAGGTGCTTAAACATTTTTATTTAATTAATAATGATTATGATGGACTTAAATGTAAAATACATTATTTACTTGCATTTCATCTAAGTAGGAGTTTGTCTAAAGCTAGTTTTCTTTTACACTACTTTGTATCATAGAAATACTCATGTAAGTCTGCTATGAGTAATTTATTAGCTGATGGGGAATTAAAGCTGATAGGGTAAAAGAGAAAATACAAGCTTCTCTTTGAATTCATGAATTGGGTCTGTTTATTGTTTTGTGTGTGGTGAAGGTAGCAAGCTGTTTTCTAGTTAATCTGCTATAATCTTGATTTTCGAAGTTTAACATGTAAACTGTTCTAATTACCTCAGTTGTGTAGATAGAGATATGGAAAGTCAAGAAAGATATATGAATTGTACAAGTTCTTATATTGTTCCTAAGATAGAATTCAGTATGGTAGGAATAACATACACAATTCCTTTCAAATTCTAGGATGTATAATTTGATAATCATCATTAACTAAAAGATAAATTATTACCATAGCTTAAGGTTTTATATAGCTGTAATCAGTATACAAATATGAAATTATAATGGTAATGTTTTGAAATGTTCCAAACTATTTGGCATAGAGTAGGTACTCAAAAATATTTGATAATTGAATGAGTGAATCTATGCTATATATTGTTGCTAAATTATACTACATTTAATTACTAGATGAATTCTGACTAAAATAATATTTTATATTTAAACTTATGTCTTTTACAAGATTGAAACAAAGTGAAGATCAACTGAAAATACTTACCATGGAACTTGAGAAGAAATCGAATGAACTGGGTAAGATTTACAGAATAACATGTATAACCCTTGTCCAGACATAAACACACATATTTTTCAACTTTCATTACTACATTATTTTTTATCAGTTAAAGTAGTTCATGAATTGGCAGGTATTTTTCAGAATATCTCTACATTTCTATAAGTTTGTTATTAACTTTGAATACTTTTATAATTAAAGTAATTATAATATTGCCTTGTTTTGGGCATTTGAACTTTTAAGCTAAACTTTCCCTTTGCAGTGCTTAATTTCCAACTATAGATTAGATTAACCTTTGACTTACAAAATTGTACTAGCCAACGGTAAATAATTTTAGTTTTTAGTATTTAGTATTATAGTAGCTGTAAATGTATTTTCCAGTCAATCAGATCATTTGATACTCTTAAATCCGTGCTTATATTTCTTTAGAATTGTTCAGTTGAATGTTGTATACTAAGAGATAATTTTAGTCCTTAAATATCTTTAAAAGATATTTATAATAGAGCCTCCCTGGTGGTGCAGGCGTTAAAGACTGAACTATCAAGCTGTTTGTAGCCACTGCAGCGTGAGTTCTATGGGGAGCTGACCTACATGGTGAAGCAGACCTCTCCTGTCTCACCGCTGCTCCCCTCAGCAGTGGATTTCAGTACACATGCCTGTTCTGTCCTACTCTGTCTCTGGTGAATCCTCCCATCTCTTTTGCCCCCCTCACACCTTGGCCTACACCCTAGTTCTTGTATGCATAAATAAATACATCTTAAAAAAAGATATTTATGGGCCCTCCCTGGTGGTGCAGTGGGTTAGGATGCAGTAGTGCAAGCTAACGCAGCCACTTCCGTGCTAGTCTGATCCCCACCCCCGGAGGGGATTCACATGGCATGGCAGATCTCTTTTGACCCATCTGCTGCTCCCCTCAGCAGTGTATTTCAGTACATATACCTGTTCTGCTTCCCACTCTTTCTCTGGTGAAGCCTCTCACTGCCCCTGCACCTCTTGCTTCTACCCCAGTTCTATATGAATAAATAAATCTAAAAAAAAAAAAAAGATATTTATAACAATTTGGTCTGATACTGAAATCAAGTGACAGTAATGGTCATATTAAACAATTTAAATCCTTGAAATGATTTTTCTCATTTAAACAATATGAAAACTTTGAATAGGGAATTTTGGAACTGGCGAAATAATATGTATTTTTGTGAATTGATTCTTCTATGTGTGTTCATTAACATTAGGTACTCTGGAAACATATACAAGAAGTAAAATACCATGCTCTTGAGAAATCTATAGTTATGGTGGGAAGAAAGAGTGAACACACAACAAAATTTAGAGCAATGTTACCAGAATGAGGGGGAGTGAGCTAGAATTCTATTAGAATGAGGGATAGAAATATTAAAATTTTGTTTTTATTTTTATGCTTTATGTATGTTGTATAAAGAATTAAACAATACACATTTGTAGATTTATATAAAATGCTTATTTGCATTTTATGCACAGTTACGTTTTGTGATGAGCGTTCATATATATGTATATTTTTTTAAAGATTTACTTATTTATTCATACAGAACTGGGGTACAGGCCAGAGATGTGGAGGGTGAGAGGATTCACCA